CGTGCAAGCCGAGTCGTCTGCAACGTCACTGAATGTTTCACCAACAGTACAAGGCTCGCACTGGCGATCGCTGGATTTGGTACCTTCGGCGAGCATGCCATAACCAATGGCACAATCCTGGAAGATATTGCACTCGCTACCTTGTGCAAAGGTACCGTTGGGGCATTCAGCGCATTGACGGTCGTGTGATGCTGATGGCTCCACTGTCTCTTGCTCAGTTGGCCCACAGGTGGTCCAGACCCGGCAGGCACTGCGATCATCGGTATCGCTGTATGTACCGGCCGTGCACACCGCACACTGCACGTCTTGAGTCGGAGAAGGAGCAGTAGACTGGCCCTGTCCTGGAGGACAGGTACTCCACGGCGTGCATGTTTGCTCGTTCAGCGAGCTGGTGTAAGTGCCAGTGCTGCAGGGAGAGCACAAGCGGTCACGGAAGGCGCCTGGTGATTGCTTTACACGCTGACCGGCAAGGCAATCAGTCAACGGCACACAAAGATCAGGATGGGTATCTGCACGAGCATCAAAGGTGCCGTTGTAGAAAAACCCTTCGTCGCAAGGGGACAGCCGGTTGAGCTCGGTCACAGCATCGATGATGACAGAGACGGTCGAGTAGTCCACGGGAAGATTGGCGTTGATGATCCGCTGCAAGCTACCTTGCACCTGTAAACAAATAACATTTACGCCTTGAGCTCGGAGCAGTCGACAAGACAAGACAAGACAAGACGACAAAGCACACACACAAGGAGAAAAAGACAAAACTTTTGGATAATTACAGACCTCATTTTGGTCCACAGTAGCATGGCTGATGTTCAAAAACTCGAGCGTGTGATTTTGACGCAAGGTGCAGACACGACCCGCGGTTGAATTAGGCTGCCCGACCAAGTCTTTGCAAGTCCCACTGATGCACGGGAAGGCAATGCAGGCATCCACTGCAAGTGCCAGAACGAGGACAGGGTGAGGTGGTGACCAGAAGCTTCATGATTAAGAGGGACTGGGCATCAGCCATGGATTGTTGCTAGCGAGACGTACCGTCACACTCTCGATCCGTGGTAGCAGTTGCAGCCACTGTCTCATAGAAACCGGGTGCACAAACGGTCAGATTGGTACATGCACGATCGGACGAGGTTGTGCCATCAGCAGTTTGGTACTGGTTGACAGTGCAACTGGAGAGTGGTGTGCACGACTCCTCGTCGACTCCGGCGGTAAAGTTGGTCCCCAGGGTGCAGGCAGTGCAGGTGTTGTCACGGAGGCGATTGGCCCGTCTGGACACGAAAGTGCCGGGTTGGCATGGCGTCACATCGAGGCAACCGTACATGTTTTCCTGCAGAAGATGGGCAGGCATCGCCATTTAGAGCCGGGAGTTGGAAAAAAAAAATTCAGATCGATGTGTCAAATGCTGCCAACTCTGACGACTTACGCTGGGTGTGTAGTTGACGAGATATAAGCAATCATCACAAATACGGTCTGAGCTGGCTGTGCCGTTAACGTCAATATATGTCTTCGGTTCGCAATCGGACCAGGGCTGGCAGGTGGAACCCTGTGCGGCAGGACGTGGTGTTGGGAGGAGGGTGAGGGGCTGTGAGAGCACCGCGATCGGTTCGGTTGGGCTGATGCTGACATGCATGCCACGCTTGCACCAACGTTAGTGTTGAAGAAACCATCGGGACAGGGTTGACAGTCTCGATCCGAGGTCGTGCTTGGGGTGTTGACAGCACCAAAGCCGGGGGGACAAGTAGTCCAGACGGAACACTGGAGCTCGTTGTCCTGAACACGGTACCAAGGCGAGAATATGAGTGTTCGTGATGGAAGTGGCTGTCGCTGTGGACAAAGATGGCAACGAGGCGAGCAGAGGGAATCGAGCAAAAGCGCTTCAACGAACGTTGATGGTGAAAGTGCCGTCTGTACAATTCGCACAAGAGCGATCTGAAGAGAGAGTTGCCGCTTGATTGACAGCTGTTCCAGCAGGGCAGGTAGTTGTGGCTGTGCACTCGGCTTGGTTGCTCTGAAAGAAAAGAAGGCAAAAACGTCGACAGGGCGAGAAGGAGAGGCGGTTGAGAATAAGATAGCGCTCGAGGGGTGCCTGTTTATGAAGCCGTTGGGACGATTGGCAGAAAGCAAGCTTCTCAAACACATACGGTATTGGACCACGAGGAGCCCAGGGTACAGTTGTCACAGGTGCGGTCTGCCTCGGCAGTGCCGGCCGTGAGAACGTGCTGACCCGGCGCACAAACCGTCCAGTTCATGCAGGCTGGCTGGTTACCCTGTAACCATTCATTGCGAGCCATAATCAATCCGTGAGCAAGAGCACATACACGCAAACGCATGCACACCTCAAACAGTCAGGTCGGGGAAAGACAATAGGAAAGGAGAGAACGGAAGATCATCGACAACAAGAGTCGAGCCGTACACCGGGCAGGACATACCAGTGTGGAAAAGGTATTGGTGGGGCAGGGCAGGCATTGACGATCCGAGGTCGCGTTTGGGGCTTGGGACTGGAAAAAGCCGGCTGAGCAGTTTGTCAAGAAAACGCAGTTGTTGCCGTCAAAGTAGCTGCTGGCCCCACAGTCTGGCAGAGCAGTGGTCGTAGGGGCCACCGTGGTAGTGGTGTCGGCAGCGGCGGTCGTCGTCGTTGGGGCCACCGTGGTAGTGGTGTCGGCAGCGACGGTCGTCGTAGGGGCGGCCGTGGTTGTGGTGTCGGCAGCGGCGGTCGTCGTCGTAGGGGCCACCGTGGTTGTGGTGTCGGCAGCGGCGGTGCTGGTGCTGCCAACTGAGCCAGTGTGTGAGAAAAGCAGGAAGACGAGGAAGGCGATCAGCGCCTTGGACCCCGACCGTCCAAAGGAGGCTTGCACCCGCATGCTGGCGGTAGCCGTTTCCCCGCAGGGGGGAGGGATAAAGGCGTGCGACGAAAAGAGACACGGAAAAAAAAGAAGTGGTCAGAGGGGAAAGGAAAAAAAAATAAAAAAATAAAACCCGTGTCACGCGACCATGGTCTGGTCCGTGCTTCGTGTTGGGGGGAGGATGGATCCTCTGGTCTAAGCGGCAGCGAAAAGAAAAAATGTGAGCCAAGACGGACGCAATGACCGGGGAACGAGAAGAAGCAAAGGCGAAGAGCAAGAAGAGATGGCATTGCCAGTGAGGCTTGAGGCCAAAACGAACTGAGACACACAGATGCAGCAGAAAGGAGCACAAGAGGAAATGGGTAAAATAAAAAATAAAAAAAACGGAAAAAAAAAAAAGGGGGCGGAAAGCAAGGGCAGCGCAACAGCAGCCCCGAACCGCCCAGCGGGGGGCCGGGGAAAACGAGCAGGGCGTGTGTGGATCAAGACTTTGGACAATGCGTTGAGAGGGTGTGTGAGAGCGTGTGCGTCATGCGTTGTTTTGAATGAGAGAGAGAGAGAGAGAGAGAGAGGATCGAGACACTTGGTGTGGGTCCGCGCGCGCGATGGACCACAAGAATGAAATCATATCATAGAGATGAACGAGCGAGAGCGTGGATGTGAATCAACGTGAGGGAGCCAATTCAAAGACCGGGTCTCAAGTGCATCAAGGGTTTCACGGCTGAGGTTTGCTCGATGGTTGGCCGACCGTCGTGCCGAGGTCACGCCCAAGCGTGTGCGCGTGAAACGTCACAAGCTCGTGTGACGACGACACGACACGGCAGGGCGCCAAGACCAAGAGCCTGGTTGACACGCGATGCACAGGCCCACCACCCACGGCCGACCACCACGATAGGAAATCCACAAGCCAAGGGCAGTGACGTTGCACACCCCCGGGCGTCGACGACACGCCGCCAACGCCGCCAACGCCGCCGCCGCCGCCCTCGGACTGACTTGAGCCTTGTTTGACAGAGATTGGGTGTGGGATGGGCAACACGGGCAGAGAGGGAGGGACCAACGGGTACGAGATTCAGAGATGGAGTCTGCTGTAGGAGATGTTGTATAGGGAATAACAAGGCAAACGCAGAGAATATGCTAAACAGCGAGGTTCATAAAGAGCTCACCCAAAAGACACCACACACTACAAGAGACACGACATGAAGAACAGCCAGCGCACACTGTACCTCCACCGCAACAGAAGAAAAATACACACACACTCGCTCTCTCTCTCTCTCTCTCTGGTGTGTGTGTGTGTCTCTCTCTCTCTTTTCTCTCTCTCTTTTTCTCTCTCTTTTTCTCTCTCTCTCTATTTTTCTCTCTCTCTCTCTCTCTCTCTCTCTCTCTTTCTCTCTCCCTCTCTCTGTTGAATGCTATTCTTTCATATATTCTTTTGTTCTTTTGTTCTTTTGTTCTTTTGCTCTTTGTGCTGTTGCGTTGTAGTGTGTGTGGTAAAGGCGGCGGGCGTTGATGTTACGTTCGCGCTGTGTAATAACAGTAACAGCCATCACACTATATAGCACTCATGAGTGTAAGTAACGTTACACCTTTAAGTTACCGGTCCAGCCAAGAGAGAGGGAAGAGACACAAGAGACACACACGCACACACACACACACACAGAGGACCGACTGACGGTTTGGCAGCGCGCTCGTAGCGGTGGTCGAAATGCGAGACACGATGGCTTGCTGGGCTTGGGTTGAGGCATCAGATGGGGGACTACCTGTACATGATGATGATGATGGAGGAGGAGCTGCAAGATCCCGAGCGTCTTCCTCATCGTCTCCTCCTGTAGCTCCGACTCTGCTTGGGTCGCAGTCCGCACGCAAGCACGTGGAGGCTTGCCTGCTCAGCTTACGATGAATTGAGGCGACTGCTGGGAACAAAGCAGGTCCCCGATCCCCGCCTCTCCGCTCAGCTCCATGAGGCCGGTTGTACTTCCCTCCTCCCAAAGTCGTCCCCTGACCGACCCACTGCCCTGCCGCTGCCACTGACCATTCTCTCGAATCGGATCTTGCCTTGCCCCCGCCCCTCTCGCGTTTGACGTTATTTTACTTTTTTTTGCATACAAGCTCTTGCTTCTTTCGTATGGGACAGAGAGGTCCCATGCTCCAGACCGGCGTGACGCCATGCAGCTGTCACGGCAAACACGACCACGGCACATCTTGTCCAGCTCCACTGGACACCGTAGCCAGCATGGCATGGCACAGCCAGCCATGCGCACAACTCGGCGCTGCCCTTTCGTGCCCCCGCCGCAAACGTAACGTCAGACGTCGAACAATTGATTGTCCTATGGCCCGGCCCGAACTTTTGAATAGATTAAAAAGTGGTTTTTCTCCTTGGGATGATACAAGAATCCCATCCCCATCACCAGTCCAAGTCAGCATTGTGACGGTGGGCGAGATGAAGGACAAACGGCCTCTTCACAACACCTGTTAAAGTGTACTTTGTAAGGCTCTTAAATACAAAGAGACGAACGCAGTGAGTTTGTATCAAGTGTACGAATGCAGTGAGCATATCGTTATTTTGAAGCAGGGTCAAGTGTGTCAGTTTTTACACTACCGCAACCATGGCCCTCTTTGGCGAATCTCAAAAGTAAAATACATCTGCTTGAACTTCAATCCCCGCAAGCCCCCGGAAACGGCAGCGCCGTCGCCGTTCCGTCTGGCTCGTCTCGCTTTGCAGCGCCGTCGCCGCCCTTGCCGACTTGTATCCCTTTGACTAATACCGGCCTTTTTTTTTCTTGGTCCCCGTAGTCTGACGGCCGCCGTCCAGATTATCAACGCGGTGCCGGTCAAGCGGCTCAACTCGATCCTCACTCGCATCGCGCAGCGCCACCACGAAGTGGAGGAGGAAGCCTTTTCCGAGGATGAGCGATACAGCCTTCAGGTGGCGCTGGACATTGATCCCAAGGCCGTCAGCCTGCTCCTCGACACCCTCAGCTTCTTCTTTGACACTGTCAGTGTCGACTTTTTGACTCGCATTTCTGATCTCCCACCGCCCCTGGCACCACCTCACGGACCGGTCCCCTCTCACTGTCCCCCAGGCCATTTACCACCAATCCAGCATCAAATCGCTACAGAAAAATCTGGCCGCCGTCGGCTTGGATGAAGAACATGTTTGTGCCTGCCCCCCGAACGTCGCCTCCGCTGCTTGCACACCCGACGTCGCTCTCACCACCCACCACAACACTCGGTCCTTGCGCAGACACAAATCATCCTCAAGACTTGGGCTGACCATGGCGCTCAGCTCGTTGACACCACCCGCAACCAGCCCTTCTTTTCCACCTCCCTCGTCGACACTCGGTGGCAGGCTTCTGTGCAAACTGCGAGCCACACTCAGACACGCACCACCGTCCCCATGGGCCACCTCCAGCTTGAGCTGGCTGACAACGCCAATCAGGTGCCCCTCCCGACCAGTCCCCCGTGACGCCTGACCACGCCATACAAAGCGCACCCACCCTTCTTCCTGCATGGACCTCACGCATTCCCACATGGTTTGTGTTTTCCTTGTTTTTGTTTTTTTTTTGTTCTTTTTCTTTTTGAAAAAAAATACCCCAGCGACAACTGGTGGACCTCGAGTTTGATCACGCCGAGCTCTCAGACTTTTTTGGCAAGGTACACTCACCATGCCCAAAACCTCCCTGTCACACACATTGCTTCCAACCGACCCTTTTTGACCCCATGCTCACCTCCCCACGCCCCTGACGCCTCGGAATGACAGCTCAATGCCATTCAGAAGCAGCTCGATCAAATGGCCTGAACTGGGCCTCCAAAATGAAGAATAGTTGGCATGCCTTTTCCTTGTCAAGCCAAAAGACATCTCCTGGCCCTCCTCAGTGCATGGCCGGAGGCTACCTGGCTTCCAACCAGTGCAGGCTGTGACAGCTCTTCTCGCTACACACTAGGCTTTCCCAAATCAGGTCCCACCCCCCCCCCCAC